GTTGGTACGTCTGCCATTATCGCTTCGATGCTAAGCCCCCAATGGATGCGATTATTTATTATGATTGGGTGTTTTTTACTATTGTTGTTGTTGTTGCTCTTCTTGTTGTTATAAAGCACTTAAACAACAGAAAGAAGTGTGGTAAAACATAATTTTTCCTGTGGGAACCAATAGTCATCATCAATGGGATTATTGGAATTTTTATTTATTTTCACTGGAAGCAATGAAAAACAAAATAAAACTTTTATTAATTTTTTTTTTGTTAAATATAATTCATTGATGAGGTATGTGGAGGAGATTAAAACACACAAGATTTTTTTTAAACCAAAGCAAAATAAATCATATTAATAATATTTTTCAAAGGCGTGGTTTTTAAAAATAATTTTTTCAAAGAACCACCACAGCCTGTTTCTTAAAATTATTTCTTTCGAAGGACCACCAGTGTGCGTATTAAAAAAGATAATGTTTTTCGAAATACCACCAATACGTTTTTTTAAATATTTTTTCGAAGGTATATCAAGTCGTGTTTTTATACCCTTCACCACACAGTGGTACAGGGTATTATGTCTTTGTGCATATGTTTGTAAATGGCAAAAGGAAACGAGATAGACACATGGTTCCAGGAAATTTGACATACGTCATTTATTTCGACCAAGGACGAACCCTATTGAAATTGGGAAAAATTGGTTCAGATTTAGATGTAGCTCCCATATATATTTTTGTCCGATTTAAGGTAAATGGTGTTCAAAAGTCCCTATATATATATGGGCAATATTGCCAATTTTTTAATATTCCATTTTCAAAAAAAAAGCTTTTTTGTTTTTGTGGCACATCAATGATTTTTGGTACACATATAGAGAAAAATGTTCTGACTCCGAAACCGTTCGCGATCAAATTTTTGGTTGATGCGCGCAAAAGTTATCGGTGTTTTAATTTTGGGCATAAGAAAAAAAATCTTAAAATTACGCCGTTTATTATATTGACCAAAAACATTGATATATCACTTCCTCCGTAAAATATGAATATGAATATATTTTAATAATCGCGATAAAGTTGCACATCTTCGCGAAATATGAGAAAAATAACAAAAATAAAGGAGATTACATCAATATTTTCATTATATGAATGACATATACACACCTAAAAATAAATTTAAAAATATCTACATAATCTAAACACCATGATGAATCAAATGATGTCAAAATCCCACAAGTCCGTGTAGCGGCTTGTAAATCACAGCGACAACAAAACAAGATATTGAGGAAAAATATTTCGAAAAATTGTTTCGAAAAAATAATGTCATCATATTTATTGTTTTAATTTTATACAAGAAATTTCAGAAAAAAATGTTGGGGTTTTTCTGCTATTTCTCCCGAATTTCGCCGAAAAATTGACATATATAATAATCACTTTTGGTGTATAAGTTTACGCCTTGCGGATTATATCGAGACCTATTCGATAAATCTTAGTGTTCTAAAAATAGGAATAAATCTTAAAATAATATAATATTATGAAATATACATTTTAAATTGCGTGTAAATCGCGTAATTCTCAAAATCATTTGATGCGCATGCGGTTTCCAGGAAGTACTGAAGTTTATCTTCCAATCCATATATATTTTGCGAAATTTCATTTGACGGCTAAGATGTGCCACACGTTACATTGAAGTACCCAAAAAATCGTAAAACGCGAATAATTTCCGAAAACTCCATATGCCTTTAACGCGCATCCGATTTCGGTGCGCACCCTAAAAAAATACATCGATCTATACCGATTTCAATGTGGTCCATTAAGAACCATGGATGTGCCAGCTCACACTATTTTTGAGACAAATTGCGTCTAAATCGCGTAATTCTCAAATTCATTTGATGCGCATGCGGTTTACAGGAAGTACTGAAGTTTATCTTCCAATCCATATATATTTTGCGAAATTTCATTTGACGGCTAAGATGTGCCGCACGTTACATTGATGTACCCAAAAAATCCATTAAGAATCATGGATGTGCCAGCACAATCTATTTTTGAGATAAATTGCGTACATCTCTCTTTCGGCTGAAGTTTTTAAAGTTCTCTTTTCGAAAAAGATCAAAATCCGTATGAGGTCCTTTATTGAAGCGGAAATGATACACAGAAAACGCAAATAAATCCGCGATATTTTCAAAAACATTTTTTGCCAAATTTCGTGTTTTTGGAAGGCCAGTTCCCGCCGTTCTAGTAGATGGATTTTCACGAAGAAGATTTTATATCATCCGAAACGTAAAAAACCTTATTGATCGCGGGTACCCATATCATTCAGTTGACAGATCTAAAAATTTGACCCGAAAAATAGGTTTTTTAGAAATTTGATCGCACAAAATTTCCACTTTCGGTTGAGTATTACTCTGAAGCTGTGCATAATATATACACAAAATATATATCAAATTAAGCAGTTTCGCGACTACAATAATCTTATAATCGATTTTTAGAAATTCATGTTCGCGTATTAAAGCTAGAAGTAAAATTAAAAAAACACTCAAAATCGAGCTTCAAAATGTCAGCATCATTTAAAGGTAGATGCAGTTAAAATTTTGAAAAATGATACATAAGGGGCGTAGTCCCCATTTTGTTGGCTTCTAGTTTTATTTTGACACGAAGACCGTGCAATGAGTGGCTTAGGTCAATATCATGAACAGTTTGCAACGACAGTTCAATTTACCCAAAACTATTCACTTTTTTTCATATACTTAAGTAATTCCCGAGTTATAAAGGGGTGAACCTCCGCTTCAGCTATGTTAAAAAATTGGCAATATTGCCCATATATATATTTCAATTTGCACGAAATTTGGTATACTGTACTGAATAAAGTCAAGAATGATGTGAGTTAAGTTTCCTGAAAATCGGTTTCGATTTAGATATAGCTCCCATATATATTTTCGTCCGATTTAAGGTGAATGGTTCACAAAAGTCCCTATATATCTCTCGATTTGCACGAAATTTGGCATAGCGTACTGAAGTAAGCCTACAGTGATGTGTGCTAAGTTTCATGAAAATCGGTTCAGATTCGATTTGAACGAAAATTGGCACATCATACTGAATTGAGTCTGGAATAATGTGTGCTAAGTTTACGGTTCAGATATAGATATAGCTCAGATATATATTTTCGTCCGATTTAATGTAAATAGTGCACCAAAGACCCTATATATCTTTTGATTTGCACAAAATTTGGCGTAGAAAATCGGTTCAGATTTAGATATAGGTCCCATATATAGTTTCGTCCGATTTAAGGTAAATGGTGCACTAAAGTCCCTAAATATCTTTCGATTTGCACGAAATTTGGTATAGCGTACTGAATTAAGTCTATAATGATGTGTGCTAAGTTTGGTGAGAATCAGTTCAAATTTAGATATAGCTCCCATATATGTTTTCGTCCGATTTAAGGTAAATGGTTCACCAAAGTCCCTATATATCATTCGATTTGCATGAAATATGACATAGAGTACTGTATTAAGTCCAGAATGATGTGTGCTAAGTTTCGTAAAAATCGGTTCAGATTTAGATATAGCTCCCATATATATATTCGTCCGATTTAAGGTGAATGGTCCCTATATATCATTCGATTTGCATGAAATATGACATAGAGTGCTGAATTAGGTCCAGAATGATGTGTGCCAAGTTTCGAGAAAATCGATTCAGATTTAGATATAGCTCCCATATATAGTTTCGTCCGATTTAAGGCAAATGGTTCAGCAAAGTCCGTCGATTTGCACAAAATTTGGCAAAGCGTAATGAATTAAGTCTAGAATGATGATGTGTGTGTGATGAAGTTTCGTGAACATCGGTTCCGATTTAGATATAGCACTCATATATATTTTCGTCCGATTTTAAATAAATGGTTCACCAAAGACCCATAGTTACGCCGATTAACACAAAATTGTGCACAACGTACTGAAGTTAAATTAACCTAGCGTATGGATAGAGCTCTCATATATATTTTCTCCCGATAAATGATGCACCAATAACTCTAAGGGTAATCGATATGCACAAAACATACTGAAATTAGTATATCCTAACATGTGAAAAAATAGTGAACCAAACACTTCAGGGTTTTTAGATACTTTAAAAAAATCAACGGGTGTCCGAATGATATTTGCTTTAAATTGATGTACATAATTTTTCCCCCCATTAAAAGAAGCAAATCTATATCTGACCAAATGAAAAATTTAGTATAGATTGCAGAATGACATGCTTATGGATCCATTTTAATGTTAATGGTCCTTCAAAAATGCGACGTCTGTTAGGATTCATCTGTTGAACATACCCAAAGTGGTGAAGGCTATAATATAGACGGCCCCGTCCGACTTTACTGCTTTCCTTACTGGTTTTTATTTATAAATGTTTTTTTCTTCTTCTCCGAATAATTAATTTCCGAATAAAAATCCGCCAAGTAAAATGGTTCTTGCATAATGTGATTCTTTATGGCATCTTTAATTAGTGGATTAAATAAAAAAGCCAATATTATGGATTTCCAATGAAATTAGTTGGGCGATGTGTGGTGAAGTCCTTTTCATACATCGCTGCTTACAATAGTTTAAGGAAAATTAAATTGATACATGGAATTTTTCCATTACAACAATAAAACAACTACATCAGAATGTACAATTGGTTACATTTTTGATCTGCGAATATTTCCAGCTTGCACGCGGGCGTAGTCGAAAGTGGGAGTTTCCAAGGATGGGTCATATATTTAAGGAGATACTCACCAAGCATTGCGATATGATAAATGTTTGCATTATATGTCCCCTCCCCCTTAGGCTGCGCTATTATGGCCCTGATAAATATTTTGTATTCTGAGACATGAGTACATTTTATCTTCTGTTGTCTTGTTTTTTTTTTTTTTTTTTTTTTTGCAATGAATTATATTAACGTTTAACTGTATTTGTAATTCGGTTTATGTGTTTGTCAGTGTGTATGTGTGAGTTGGATTTTCCTTCATTTTCATGTTTCGTTCATTTTCATTTCAGCTCAACTCTCGCGATGAACCGGAAAAAACCTTCAAAGTTGCCATGCCGGACAATGCTTATTCAACGGTTTATCTACGCGATGCCATGTCGGTGGAGGAGTTTCTGGCCAGTGCCTGCGCCCGACGTAATCTCAATCCAATGGAACACTTTGTGCGTGTTAAAAAGCGACGTGACATGGAGGATCACAATTACTTTGTGCCACATCGTAACGACCTGATAGAGAATTATGTAAGTACAGTTACAGCAACAAATGACAATCAACAAATTAATATCCTGTCCAAAAAAAAGTCGTATAAAAAGGGGAATGGGTGTGCGAAAAGTTGTTGGTCATAGCACCACCAAACTCAACAGGTCAACTTTCTGCTTCAATTTTACTCGATACCCCAGAGCAATGACTTTGTCTGAAACAAGTCTATAAAACTCATCGGTGTTGAAGGTGTTGAAGTCAAAAGACAAAGAGAGGAAACAAAAGAAAAGTGATGACGACGAAAGAAAAGAAAACTTTCCAGACAGTCGTCGTTTGTTGTCGTTTGTTATCCTTGCAGTCCATTATTTCATTGCTATGCTGGTTGGCTGGATGGCAGACTGGTCGGGTGGTAGGTTGCTACCGGACAAGTAGAATAATAATGGCTGGTCAGCATGTCAAAAGGATATCATAGTGGGGACATTGTTGCAATATAAGCACCTTTCCCCTGTATTTGTTACACTTTATACATGCCAGGATTTTTTTGTTATTTGTTTGATAACACCAATGTCCAGCTTCCACCTCTCTTCATGTCATCTATCTTTATTCTAGACATTAAAAGAAACTGGGATCAAAAGGTTTGCACTTTGATCTGGCCCAGCTACAACAACACCACCACTTTGTTATTTCTGTCCCATCATTGTCGTCGTCGTCATCGTCATCATTGCCATCCATGCCATTTCATCTCTGTCAGGCCAGGCCACCTCTCACTTTATATAGCCTTTATTATTAGCCTCACACTCAATCCGTGAAGCAACAGTCAGCCAGCTGGACACGGAAAATGCAAATGAAATTTCAGATCATAACGACTAAACTTTTTAACGGAAGTTAGCCTCGGTATTGTTGAAAGTCAAAACCATGTGAATTTCGGTACAAAAAAAAACAAATGACAGGGATCCATACAATATGTGTTAACGGCGGAATGGAAACATATTTCTGAATTTTAATTGTCAAATGTAAAAAAACTCAGAACACATGAGGAGGCAAAAAACGTATAAGATATTTATTTTTTTATTTATAAACAAGGAGCAACTGGAATAGTCGGGTTTTTAAAGACTACTTTTTTTGAAGAATATTTTTTTCAAATACCATCCAGGATTTTTACAAAAGTAAACGTTTTGGGTATTTTAAATTGCTGAAATGAGGATCCCAAAGAAATATTTTTCCCAGAATCCAACTAAGCGTCGTTTTTATACCCTTCACCACACTGTGGTACAGGGTATTATGTCTTTGTGCATATGTTTGTAACAGGCAAAAGGAAACGAGATAGACACATGGTTCCTTTTGAGAATATGCATAGAATCACTTTCTGAGTCGATTTATGCATGTCCGTCCGTCCGTCTGTCCGTCTGGTGATGTTAAATTGTAAACAAAGTACAGGTCGCATTTATGATCCGATTTGGATGAAATTTGGCACAAGTCACTTATTTGGCCCAAGGAAGAACTCTAATTGGTGAAAATCGGTTCAGATTTAGATATAGCTCTCATATATATTTTCGTCCGATATAGGCACCAAAGTACCTATATATCTTTCGATTTGCACGAAATTTGGCATAGCGCACTGAATTAGGTGCAAAATGATGTGTGCAAAGTTTCGTGAAAATCGGTTCAGATTTAGATATAGCTCCCATATATATTTTCGTCCGATTTAAGGTAAACGGGGCACCAAAGTTCCTATATAACTTTCGATTTACACGAAATTTGGCATAGCGTACTTAAATAGGTCCAAAATGATGTGTGCAAAGTTTCGTGAAAATCGGTTCAGATTTAGATATAGCTCCCATATATATTTTCGTCCGATTTTAGTTAAATAGTGCACCAAAGTCCCTATATATTCTTTGATTTGCACGAAATTTATTTACATAATTTTGTCCCATTGTAAGAAGCAACTCTATATCTGATCAAAATTTAGTATAGGTTGCAGAATGACATGTTTAATTTCATGTTACTGATCCTTCAAAAATGCGACGCCTGTTAGAATCCCATCTGTTGAATATATCCAAAGTGGTGAAGGCTGGTCCACATATTTTACTATTTTGACTTGAAAAGTTTCTGCGATGTTTTTTACCCTCCGCGAACATAATAAGCCAATGTACAAACTATTTCCAAATTTCAGCCTCTTTTGTAGGGAAATAGTAGTGAGTCCTTGGATTGACCTTAATTGCAATTTGTTTAACTTTAAATATCAAAATGCCAAATATGAGGTGGCTAATCTTGGACTTATATGGAAATTGGTTTGCGTATACGCTTTGCCTAAACCTAAAAATTCCAAATGCTAACTACAGACAAAAAATTGACCTATATTATAAACAATTTTCTAGAATGTATGGCTAAATCGAAAATGGAACCCAACATTTATCAAATCTTTCCAAATATCGAACAAAACGTACGTAATTTTCTTCAATTCAATTAAGTAAGAAAACTGTTTGCGGTTTAAAATCGACCCAACATAAATGTCCATAAATAGAGAAGTGTAATTTAAAAGTTATACTCTGAATGTTGACAACATGTAGATCCTATAGTCTATAGTCTATGAACAACATTGTTGTTTATCGCACTTTTTTCACAAATCTTACCTTGTCGGTCCTTGAAAAATTATAGCCTTAAAAATTCACGCCTTCAAGGCTCATGGCCTTAAAAATTGTTATTTAAAGAATCCAAAAATTGTTGCTTGTGAAGAAAATATTCTTTAAAAATCACGCCTTGATGGTCCTTGAATAAATAATTTATAAAAATCATGGTCCTTGCAAAAATATTCTAACAAAAATCCACATAATCCATGGTCCTTAAAAAAATATTCGTTAACAAAAAAAATGTATTAAAAAAATCCAAACATTCGTGGCTTTCAAAAAATATTATTTAAAAAAAATTACACCTTCGTGGTCTTTGCAAAAATATTCTTAACCAGTAAGGAAAGTAGTAAAGTCGGACGGGGCCGACTATATACCCTCCACCACTTTGGGTATATTCAACAGATGAATCCTAACAGACGTCGCATTTTTAAAGGACCAGTAAAATGAAATTGGATCCATAAACATGTCATTCTGCAACCGATACTAAATTTTTCATTTGGTCAGATATAGAAGCTATATTCAAATCTGAACCGATTTCAGGAATCTTAACACATATCATTCTAGACCTAATTCATTACGCTGTGCCAAATTTCGTGCAAACCGAAATATATTCAGGGACTTTGGTACACCATTTACCTTAAATCGGACGAAAATATATATGAGAGCTATATCTGAATCTGAATCGATTTTCACGAAAATTAACATCCCTAATTCATTATGCTGTGCCATATTTCGTGCAAATCGAAAGATATATAGGGACTTTGGTACACCATTTACCTTAAATCGGGAGAATATATATATATATATATATCATATATTATTTGCCTTAAATCGGATGAAAATATATATGGGAGCTATATCTGAATTTGAACTGTTTTTAACGAAACTTAACACACTTAATTCTAGACCTCATTCATTACGATGTTCCAAATTTCGTACAAATCGAAAGATATATAGGGATTTTAGTGCACCATTTATATAAAATCCGATGAAAATATATATCGGAGCTATATCTAAATCTGAACCGATTTTCAGGAAACCTAACACACATCATTCTAGACCTAATTCATTATGCTGTGCTATATTTCGTGCAAATCGAAAGATATATAGGGACTTTGGTGCACCATTTACATTAAATCGGACGAAAATATGTATATCGGAGCTTCCTCTAAATCTGAACCGATTTTCACGAAACTTAACACACATCATTCTAGACCTAATTCATTGCGCTGTGCCAAATTTCGTGCAAATCGAAAGATATATAGGGACTTTGGTGCACCATTTACATTAAATCGGACGACAATATATATGGGAGCTATATCTAAATCTGAACCGATTTTCACGAAACTTAACACACATCATTCTAGACCTAATTCATTGCGCTGTGCCAAATTTCGTTCATATCGAAGGATACATAGGGACTTTGGTGCACTATTTACCTAAAATCGGACGAAAATATATATGAGAGCTATATCTAAATCTGTACCGATTTTCTGGAAACTTAACGCACATCATTCTATACCTAATAAACTACGCTGTGTCAAATTTCGTGCATATCGAAAGATATATAGGGACTTTGGTGCGCCATTTACATTAAATCGGACGAAAATATATATGAGAGCTATATCTAAATCTGAACCGATTTTCTGGAAACTTAACCCACATCATTCTATACCTAATAAACTACGCTGTGCCAAATTTCGTTCATATCGAAGGATACATAGGGACTTTGGTGCACTATTTACCTAAAATCGGACGAAAATATATATGGGAGCTATATCTAAATCTGATCCGATTTTCACGATATTTAACACACATCGTTCTAGGCTTAATTCAGTTCGCTATGCCAAATTTCGTGCAAATCAAAAGAATATATAAGAACTTTGGTGCACCATTTACCTAAAATCGGCCGAAAATATATAGGGGAGATATATCTAAATCTGAACCGATTTTTCCCAATTTAATAGGGCTCGTCCGTGGGCCAAATAAATGAGCTGTCCAAAATTTCATCCAATTCCAATCAAAAATGCGACCTGTACTTTGTTTACAATTTAACATGGACAGACAGACCGACGGACGGACGGTCATGCATAAATCGACTTAGAAAGTTATTCTATGCATATTCTCAAAAGGAGCCATGTGTCTATCTCGTTTTCTTTTGCTGTTACAAACATATGCACAAAGACATAATACCCTGTACCACAGTGTGGTGAAGGGTATAAAAATGTTCGTTAAAAAGATCCACCCCTGTTTGGTTCATGAAAAAATATATTCTTTTAAAAATAAAAATATTCCTTCAAAAATGCACGCCTGATTGGTTCTTAAAAAATATTCCTTTAAAAATTCACGCCTGATTGGTTCTTAAAAAATATATTTCAAATAAAATGGGGTTTAAATATATGTTCCAAATA